AGGATTATTTACCCAATCTTCTAATTTTAAGGCAGGGGATTCTGAGGCACAGAAAGCTGAAAAAAATGTGCCCATGGTCAAGACTGATGTAAAAGCTCAGTAATAAGTATGATTAGAGAGATAGAGTTATGATTCAAGTCCAGCTTTACTATTATATCAACCACACATTAATAACATCCAGCGAGACTTTGCTCCCATACTTTAAAAATAATAATTTGGTTCTTAATCACCTAAGGATGGCTCAGCATGCGTTCTCTGATAAACAAGACTGAACTGCAGAATACCAAATAGTTCTACTGGTCATTCAAATGAAAATGAGCTTTCTGTCCCATTTCATAATTCTCTTTGACTTTGTTTTGTTTTGTTTTTTTTTGTCTTCCCTCCTCCCTGTATTGACCACACATGCATGCCATTTCAAAACAAGCTGTAATGCAGGGGACGGGGCCAAGGTGCCCGATCCAAGGTGCCTGATCCATAAACAGGTAGAAAGAATGAGATGGACAGGCCACCAAAGCGCAATCATAGTTTATGTAATAAGGAGATTTATAAAGGAAAAAGAAAAATTGCAGAAATAACACACATTTGTTTGAAGAAGCCTTTCAGGTCTTTGCTTTCTGGAAAAATGTATCTTGGAAAACTTGGCATTTTGCTTCTTCATTAAATAAACTGGCAAATGGTCCGAGTGTGTGTAGCTCAAGCACTTTGGGAGACCAAGGAGGGTAGACCACTTGAGGTCAGGAGTTCTAAACCAGCATGACCAACATGGTGAAACCCCGTCTCTACAAAAAATACAAAATTAGCTGGGCGTGGTGGTGGGTGCCTGTAATCCCAGCTACTTGGGAGGCTGAGGCAGGAAAATCGCTTGAACCCAGGAGGCAGAGGTTGCAGTGAGCCGAGATCATGCCAATGCACTCCAGCCTGGGCAACAAGGGCAAAACTCAATCTCAAAAAATAAAAATAAAATAAAGCAAAGTGGCAAATGGACAGGAGTCAGGAATGGATCAGTTAGATGTCAGGCCCTCTGAGTTTCAATTAGGTCTCTTTGCTTTTGGAGAAGTGGTGAGGAATGAAAATGACAATATAGGTCCCTCAAGTCAAATGTTCAAAGGTACCTCTTTTTTTTTTCTTTTTTCATTTTCTTTCTTCTTCTTCTTCTTTTTTTTTTTTTTTTTTTTGACAGAGCCTTGCTCTATCATCCAGACTGGACTGTGGAGACACAGTCAAGGCTCACTGCAGCCCCAAACTCCTGGGCTCAAGCAATCCTCCCACCTCAGCTGCTTGAGTAGCTGGAACTACAGGTGAGTACTAGCACGCCCAAGTAATGGTTTAAACGTTTTGCAGAAATGGGGGTCTCACTCTCTTGCCTAAGTTGGTCTTGTGCTCCTGGCCTCAAATGATCCTCCTGCCTCAGCCTCCCAAACCACTGGGATTACACTGCTACTGCGCCCAACCCAGAGGCACATGTCTTTAAGATTACGTAGGTAACGAAAAAAATATCAGAGGGAAAATCCAACACCAGGGACCATTCCCCCCAAAGTCTGCCCTGGTCAGGCCCCAATAAGGACTCTCTGAGGCAGCAGGAGCAGGCCACAGCCAGCCAGGGAGTTCCCCATCGGGGAGGCCCACAGGTGGGAATGAACGTCTTTGAGCTCCAGTGACTCCGGGACCTGGGGTTGGCTTAACACATTAGCAAAGATGATGCCTTAGGTAACTAAAGGAACCTTCCCAGGAGATGAGAAATGTGTCTTTCCTTTTCAAGACCCAGAAGCCCTTGGGACTCAATGGAATTTCTAAGAGTTTCTGGCATCTCTAAAATGAACGTTCAATGCCACTGCTATTGTGAAAAGCTCTTGATCAACCTAAGCTGACCATCTCTGCAACTAGTGGGCCAACCTTCCAGGCCACCCCACCCCACCCCACAGCCTTTCTCCACCAGAGAACCATACGGGCGAAGACCACGCCAGCACACTGTATCCAAAGGTGTGGTCTTCTTCTGCTTTTGGCCTTTTTTTTTTTTTTTTTTGGTAAAGCAAAATATATTTTAGGTTTTTGTCCCGCACACTGAAATTCCATTTCTTTTTCCCTCCAAAAACGGCACAACGTGACACAACAAAATCACTTTGGTCATCTGCACTCCACAGGGGCAGGCTAAAGGCTTTCTGCTGAGAGTCCTCATTTTGCTTTTAGAACATAGGTGCTCTCCGTCTAGCAGAATGTTGGCATCAGTAATTAACACTGAACTGCACCTGTTAAAAATCAAGCAGCATTTTCTCATTAGGCCCTGTTAGTCTCTTAGCATATTTGTAATCACTAATTCAGATTTGCAAAAAGCTCCTTCCCCATAGTAATGATGTCGGTTCCATTTATTTTGAGCCCAGGGGTCTCTGGAGCCTCATCAGCTCCTCTTTGTACTTATTTACAAGGCTGTCTTAATTGACGAAATTAGTTAACCACCAGGATTTTGACCACCATTCTCATACTCAGATTGTATTTAAATAAATCATTGGAACTGCATCAATTATGTGAGTTTCAGAAAGCATTCGGTGGTTAAAAACAATCCCAGGAGCTGTTTAACTCTTCCTTTCTAACCAGCATCCCCCCATGAAATCCTTCACTTTTTTTTTTCTTTTTTCAAAAAGATTTCTTTTAAAAGGGCCAACCTTTCAATCTCATCGTATCTGGTCTAAGGACTGAACTAAGAACAGAAGGACAAATCACCCCCCTGCCTCTTGCTTCCACCACCAAGTAGGAGTTGTGAAAACCAACCAAAGTATTTCTACTTCCAAGCTTCAACAGTACCCACCTGCTAGCAGATCTGCCTCGTAACTGTTTCACATGGTCACTGCCCACCACGCATTACTAGAAACTTACTCATGGGCAGTCCCCATTTTCCCCTGAATTTTAGCCTCTAGATGTTAATTTCTAAGTGTTAAAAAGGCAAAAACTTTTGCAGAAGCAAATAATCCTTTAAAGATGAATCACTGTCTATGGGATTTCAGAAAAGGGCTCCAGGGCATTTTTAGGCGGAAAGGAGGCTCATTTACCCACAGTAACGATGGAGTTACGTGATGCTGGTGTGTTAAAGACACGTGAGACACAGTCCTGGATGTCCCACTGCTGCTACTGAGGAATCCTCCCCACCTGGCTCTAAAGGACCTGAGGTCTGAGCTAAAGGGCGTCTTCTATTCCTCCCACCGTCAATTTTCCCAGATGGGTTCCAGTGATCCCCACGTCTCCTGGCATTCAGGTCCTTGGGCAAACTCCTCCCTAGGGTCTTGCTTAATAATGGAAAAAAGCAACAGTGGTGGCCGCCCCTTCCAACACTGGGTTACAAAAGGCTGTGACGTCTGTGATTCTTCTCTCATCCTCTCTCTCTCTCTCTCTCTGGCTTCTCCTTTGCTCTGATGACAGCAGCTGCCCTATGAAGAGGCCCACATGGCATGGAACAGTGGGCAGCCCCAGTCAACAGTCAGTGAGGAACTGAGGCCCTCTGCAAGGAAGTGAATCCTAATAGCAACCATATGAGCAGTTCCTTCCCCAATTAATCCTTCCGATGAGACCTCAGCCTCAACCCTTCCTTGTTTACAGTCCTGTGAGACAGCTAGAGACGGAAGATCCAGCTAAATCACACCTTCATTCCTGACCCAGGAAACGGTGAGGTAGTAAATGTTGCTCAAAGCTACCATACCTTGGGGCAATTTATTGTGCAGCAACAGGTAACTAATATGCCCACTTATGTTCCAAATGCATCAGAGACTTTCATCATTCCTTCAGTCCTCTTCGTATGCTCAATTATTACAGTTCTCCCCTTCCATACTAAATAATTTGGAAACTCCATCTCTCTTTCTGAGACACCTCTCCTTCCAACTCAGACCTAAATCCTTTCCTGACCTCCTTTCTCCTTATTCTTCCAAACAGCCAATATTGCCTTTCCATGCACATCCATGGGATGCAACATGTTCCTGCAACTTCAACCAAACCTGTGTCCCTCCTGTTGCCAGAGTTCTCCTCTGCCTCCCCTCCAAGACTGGACTAGGAGCCCCTCGGAACTGGAGCCATCCCTCACCCTGTCATCTCCCCAGAGCCCAGGAGGGTGCCTGGGTGCTCAATGTCTGCTAAGTGGATGAACAAAGGCTAGAAGGAGCATGCACAGGCATCTGCAGGGAGACAGTTGCCAATTTCAAACTCCCTAGGGAGTGATGAGACTAAATTTCATGGCATTGTGTGACGGGCTCTTCAGAATCCTTCAAGGAGGACGGCAGATTGCTGCTGTCATCTCCATGCACTCTCCCTTAATGCTTCATATTTCACACCCCAGTCTCTAATCCAAGTCCTCTCACTATTCATGCAATCCTGCTCTGACAGGGAAACTATATTGACGCTTCTCAAATTCCACACCCGTTTTAGTTTTATACACTATAAAGCATATAGAAAACAGACTCTCAACTTTCGACCCTTCTGTTATTAAACTCTCCTCATATGAAGAACACCACAAATGGGAATTGTACTTTAAAATTACATGCCAGTCTGGGGTAATATTTTTTGTTAATATCAAACCCTGACATGGGCAATTGTGGCAATTATTGACTGTTGTTAAAGTATTCCTTCTAATTTCTGCTAACTTTTGAGCACTTTAAAAAGATAAACAAAAATGTAGGGCTGGGCATGGTGGCTCACACCTGTAATCCCGGCACTTTGGGAGGTTGAGGCAGGCGGATCACGAGGTCAGGAGATCAAGACCATCCTAGATAACACGGTGAAACCCTGTGTCTGCTAAAGGTACAAAAAATTAGCCAGGTGTGGTGGTGGGCGTCTGTAGTCCCAGCTACTTGGGAGGCTGAGGCAGGAGAATCGCTCGAACCTGGGAGGTAGAGGTTGCAGTGAACCAAGATCATGCCACTGCACTCCAGCCGGGTGACAGAGAGAAACTCCATTTCAAAAATAAATAAATAAATAAACAAAAATGCATGAAATGTGATGTTCTGAAAGCATAATTCTACCTTGTAGCCTCCAATGCGATGCTCCTGCTTAAACTCCTTCCCGTTTTTCAGCCACCGCATGGTTGGTGTTGGGTTGCCCCCCGCTGGGCAGCGAAACTTGACAGTGTTGGCCGCAGGCACAGCATGGAGCCGCTTTTCCATCTTTTCTGTGTTGGTCCAGTAAGGTGCTCCTGTTTTGGAAAACAATATTAGAATGTATACCAATGGACAGCTTCCCCTCCATGAGTAAACTCAAACAGGTTAGATCATTTCGCTTTGCATGTAAATGATAAGCTATTTTTAAAATCTTTGGGTAATATTTACATTTGGAAAATATTTTCAGAAGTCTAATCCAGCTGGCTGAGCAGAAGGTCCCAGAGAGGGACGCTTCATGTCTACTAACAGGGGGGGAAAAAAAAAAGTGTTTGAGGCCCCTTCTCTCTCTTGTTCTTGATGCCAGAAAATCATTTTATGTCAAATCATGTTTTAAAATGCTACTTTATATACATATGAACAACATATACAACTGTGACAGCTAAGTCCTCCAAAAATATATCATTTTGGATTGCCACACCTATTAAATGGTCACATATACACACTAGTTAAAAACAAAAAGCCCTATCAACTTATCCACTGGCGCCTTACTTTAAATGGCAATCAATAGTATACATTATCATTCTAATATAATAAAATAGCCCAGAGAGGCATTCATACATTTCTCAGAACTTATATACAAACAGACAAACAAAAACTGTATCACTAAATACACACTTTTTTTAAAAAAAATTATTTCCAATGGTGGTTATGAATGTTATAACCCTACCACCCCAAGAGGAAGCTACCAATTAAATATGTTACAGTTATGCCCTCCAAATATCCCTGAAAGTCATAAATACAAGTGATTTTTTAAACTCAAGAAAAAAGTTTTAAATCACCAAGCAAAGTGTATTTTATCTAAATAAAAGCCACAACCTCAAGCCAGAATAGCACTGTAAATTCTTCATGCCTGCTAATAGTGGCTAATTGACTACTACTGACTGAAAGCCTCTGCTTTGCCAAGCACTGCTCAAAGAGTTTTTACATGTCAACACACTAATCTTCACACCAATTCAATGAGAAAGGCACTATCATAATCTTGGCTTCCAAGTGGGGAAACTGAGGCACAGAGCAGTTACATAACCTGCCAAAAGCCACGAAGCTTGGAAGAGGTGCAGCCAGGATTTGAACTACACCAGCCTGATGCCAGAGCCCACTGTCTTCAACCCTACTCTCCACTGCTAGGAAGACGCAGCTTCTCCATGAGGTTGGAATCCGTACCTTCCACCATTCTGATGTTTAAGGCTAAAGTTCGGGAAAGCCAGCCTGGGTCAAGGCACATGTCCTCCTTTTTTCCTGTCCAGAACCTCTACCGTACAGCAATTTAACTTTTCACATATATGTTTCTGTCTTAGCAAAGTGGTAACCAAAATCCCTGTATTCCTCTGAAACAGCCACCAACAGGACCTTGAACATTCTAGAAGGCTAATTCATAACTGTGCTTATTTCTGAGGAAGGCTAGACCGAACAACAGCACACACACTTCACAAACCCAAGGCAAAATGGCCCTAGGCAGGGACTTTGATGCATATTTAGAAGTCTCCTCTATTCTATGGGTGTAGAGCACAGTCCCTGGGGGATAAGGATCCCCTTCACTTAGCAGCCGACTCTCAGGATACAATTAGGAATTGAAATGATTGCATCCAAACACCTACCCCAATTAGCCTTCACGCTTGCTCTTGAAACCTGTCGTCAAAGGTAGGGCTGAGATTTCTTTGCAAGGGCACGCCGTATCTTTATCCCTGTGCTTATCTAAGTGTCAAAGTGATGGGATTTAGGTGCATCCATACGATGCTAAAACAGCGGGAAGAGGGGCAAAACTATAGAAGCTGGGAGGGAAGAAGAGGAAGGAGAAGAAAAAAGGAATAGGGACTGAATTCTTTCGTTTGAATCCAGTTGCATTTGCAACCTGGGTAGCCATTTGGCTTTGGGTGTTCAATGCCTATAAACGCACCTATTCATTTGAAGGTTCACCAGGGAGTACTTGATTCCTATTCATCACAAGACTCTCAGGGCCTGGCATATACTGAAACAATTTCAATAATCTTTCATTTTAAAAGCTTCTACTTAGAAAAATCCATCCACAGCCACAGTCACTAAAAAGAAACCATTGAGAGCACAAAACAAATAATGAGCTTTGTCACTACACAAAGACGTTTACAAATCTGACCTAAATGGAAAGCATACCTCATGCTGTCAGGTGTCTGCACTCATGTCATTTGTTTAAGTAAACACAATAGCCTATTCATAAGAATTAGCTAAATATTAATGCAGTAACTCTTTCAGATCGCATCAATTACTACTGAGCTGATCCTGTGGAATGTCTTTTCTTTTTTACATAGAAGAAATCAACAGATACGTGCTTACATACCATGAGGCATGATTTTTATGTTCCCTAAAAAAAAGTGGGATTTAGCTGAAGGAACTAGGAATGTTGTTCTTTTCTGCCCTCACTGGGCCAAGCCATGGGTGAGACTGTAACAGCACAGGGACCGCCCCAGACCACGCGCACCTATGCAGGCCTGACCTGTGGCAACAGCAACAGCACACGGGCAACCCGCACCTTTGTCTTGGTGCCTCGGGAGTGATTTAAGGACTAAGGTGAAATAATTTTGCTGGAATTTCTGGCAGGTAGCCACTTCCCTGGGGTGATATTTCAATCATCAAAGCTACACCTATAAAATCTGCTTCTGCAAAACAGAGACACAGCCATACAGCAGGATACGGGCACAGGGCTGCTCATCTAAGTCGCAGAGATCCAAGGTCGGGGGGCACCATAAAAAATCCAGGCACAACCCTCCGCCCAGGCTCCCCTGTGTGACCAGCCCCACCCTGGTGACTGCTAACATCACACCAGCACACAGCCTCTCTTTAAATGTCAAGCTCACAAATAGGTTTAATGAACTTGATACGGGAGGGGAGGAAGTCTTTTTTTTCTTTGAGACAGTGTCTCGCTCTGTTGCCTAGGTTGGAGTGCAGTGGCACGATCTCGGCTCACTGCAAGCTCCGTCTCCCGGGTTTATGTCATTCTCCTGCCTCGGCCTCCCGAGTAGTTGGGACTACAGGCACCCGCCACCATGCCCGGCTAATTTTTTTTTTTTTTTTTTTTTTGTAGTAGAGACCGTGTTAGCCAGGATGGTCTCAATCTCCTGACCTCATGATCCGCCTGCCTCGGTCTCCCAAAGTGCTGGGATTACAGGTGTGAGCCACCGTGCCCGGCCAGAACTCTTTTATAATTTTACAATAACTCTTCCTGAAATACACTAGCTTTATGTGAACCTTGAAGAATCTGTAAGATCTAGAAAAATAATAATACTATAAGATAGCCTTACAGTGTTTCCTTCATCAGCAGCCTGGTGTCCTCTGTATGTTTTCGCAGTTGGAAAGGCCACACATGGAAATGCCAGGGCTTCCCAAGAACTGCAAAGCAGCTGGAGACAAACACCATCCAGGCACCTAGGGCAGGCTCCTCTACCTAAGGAAGCCCCTTTTATACCAAGGCTCAGGAACAGCTTTAACAACTCTCATCTGGAGAAGGAACTCATGTACCAAATTAAAGATCTACCAAAGCCGAGATCAGCCTTGTCCATAGTAGATGCTCAACAGGGATGTTTACTCAACAATCTTATCTAAAATGAATCTGCAGTCCAGGTGCAGTGGCTCACGCCTGCAATCCCAGCACTTTGGGGGCCGAGGCAGGCAGATCACCCAAGGTCAGGAGTTCAAGACCAGCCTGACCAACATGGTGAAACCCTGTCTCTACTAAAAATACAAAAATTAGCTGGACGTGGTGACATATGGCTATAGTCCCAGCTACTCAGGAGGCTGAGGCAGGAGAATCGCTTGAACCCAGGAGGCGGAGGTTGCAGTGAACCGAGATCATGTCATCGCACTCCAGCCTGGGCGACAACAGCAAAACTCTGTCTCAATCAATCAATCAGTCAAATGAATCTGCAAGCCAAGGACACATGAGTTTCCCTGAACGTCATATACCTTAGAGGTGTATGAAGAGTGAGCTTAAAGTCAACTAATAGAGATGTGTGGTATAAACTTCCAATGGCATTCAAAATGAATGACACTAAACCACCTGTAAAGGAAACAAATTAATCTCGATGATAGGTATAGTACCTTTGGCTCTGACACTCTTAGAGCTTCTGATGTGATAGGTACCACGAGAATGATGTTCTCCTAATCATTAAATACTAAGAATGAGCTGATTAAAGGAACAGTCAAACCTAGCCACAGTCAATCTCATCCCATCACCAGCACATAGCATACCTACTCATTATCATTTTCTACACTGTAACAGTTATTGCATATAAGTAATAATATTAAGTAAGTAGAATTTTATTTTAAGACAACAGAAGTCTTTTAAGATGCAATGGGTTAAAGAGAGATTTATAAATGCACAGAAACTTCCCTTAAAGGACTCCGACACAGCCTTTAACATTCCCACCCCAGAGCCAAGTTATCATTCTTTCTCGGGGCCCCTTCTTTGTGATAGATGTGTGCTTCTAACATCAGTTTCTCTGTACTGAAAAATATTCCTTCTGATGCTGACCAACAAGAGTAGGGCACCTGGAGGGTACAGCTGGAGTTGTCTTCAGCCTATGGGGTAGGCACTCAAGCGTTTATTGGATGGATGGATGGATGGATGGATGGATGGATGGATGGATGGACGGATGGATGACTATTAAAAGCTTTAGCTATAAAGTGAAGTAGTTGCACTGATTAAGGTCCCTCCCAGTTCGAACATACTTTCCAGGTATCCATGTGCTAGGCAGGTATTGATTCTATCAACAAATGGTAGGATTATATGATTTCTTTTGACCCTGAAATTTAAACTTAATCAGAAACCATAGTCTGCTGGGCCTGCCCCCACCAAAACCCTTACACATCCCAATGATGACATCTAAGGTTTATAATCTTCTCTCTCTCTCTCTCTCTCTGGAACCAAAAAAAGAGAGAACACGGCCCAATGATTTAAAGGAGAAACATGGAATCATATTACCAGGCTGTACCAAAAGAGACCTCAGTGGCCATCTGGCCCAACGACTGATGTGATCAGTGTCATCCAGAAAGGTTAAGTGATTTG